GATGAGAACAATTCGACTCTATTACATGTGGAAAAGAAAATATTTGTCTAACTTGACCAAAATTTTCGTCTACATAGTTCATCAAAGTTCAAATCTTATTTCACTATATAATTTGTTTACAATTTTTTTTTTCAAAACGAACTAAAACTTTTTCATATCACTAAACTATTGGATCAAAATTGATAGACCATGAGTCAAAAAATTATACTAACCATTATTGGGCTACATATTCTAAATCAACTATATGCATTAATGATATAAATTATTTGAATTTTCAGATATACATTGTACATGTCGTGTACAAAAAGCTTAGTTAGGTAAGAAATATAATTTTTAGTCTTTCTAATTGAAACCAAAACTTTTGAATACAATTTTTAGTTTATAATTTTGCACACATAAAGATTTGTATTGCTTTTATGCATAAATTTATAATATTAAGAAATTTATGTCTATATTTATGTTTTTTCATTATTATTTTGAAACACTTGATTTTGTTATATTCTATATAAGATCATCTTATTTTTGTTGTACTCACAAACATGTCATGACTTGTTTTTTGGAAGAGAATTCAGTGACCGTAAAGCATCCTTTAAGCCTTTCTTACTAACGAAATTCATGAAATTCACTAAAAATTTCACACTTGCTCCATACAACCTCTAATAATCTTCTTTTTACGGTCTGAATACCTGCCTTTTCTCGTTCTGACATTGTCTTCTCATCTTGTGAAGATGTAAGTATCTCTAGAATAGTAAAAGAATAAGTTTAGCGCAAACGAGACAGGTCATAAAAAAAAGCACAAGAAGATCCAAAAGAGACATTACATGAAATTCTATGTGGATGTGTCATACATAAACCACAAACCAATGGACACCTATTTGTTCATTTGAACTTTACGAAATCAATCCATCATACTATACCAGGACCGATACGCCAACCAACAAGATTGGCCTGTTTGCGCCAACCAGCAAGAAATGTATCAAATCCAGCTAAGATATGAGCATAACAATCATACAACAAAAACACACACTGGCAACATTCAGCAAACTCTTATTCACATCTACATATCTTCAGTTTAGTTAGTCTTCTTGCCTTCTCATCTTGAACATAGACATCGAATAACCTATAACTCCTTTGGTTATAGTGATCTCTTGCGAAATGTAAACCGATGAAGTATTCTCTTTGAACAAGCTTGTTTAACCGGTTGCTGAAGTTTCCTATATATGATGTCTTGTAAATGAATGGGTAGTCTCCTGCTTCAACTACAGGCTTTATATGTACCCATCACGTCCCCTCCAACAACACACATGTTGGTGACTATACATTGACGAGTATTCTAAAAGGCAAAAGCGTT